AATTAGTTTTTTTGTTGTTTAAAAAGATAAAATAACGCGCAGATAGAAAAAAGAAGCAAAGAAGATAGAAAAAATTTATTGTCTAATTTTCGTCGGCATTGAAAATAATAATTTGAATGCATAATAGAATATATCATATTGAATTTCTTTCAATGTAATTTCATATAAACATACATTTTGAGTTGAATCTTATAAAACAAATTCAATAAAAATTTGATTGAATATAAAGAAGACATTTTAGCTGATCTATGAAAATAAAGAAAAATATTTGTAGATTTAAACATATAAAATAAAACGAGAGAATTTCTTCAATTCAAGTTTGATCTTTCAGAAGTAAAATAAATTATAAGTTCTTATATGAAAAATGTCTAAGAAAGAGATCCAATAGTCGCAATTACTCCTGCTACTGAACACAAAGTACATAAAATTCAATCATTTTGTGTATGTGGATAGAGCTCGGTAAACTTGAATCAACAGCAGCAACACGAGATCGATAGATTTTTATACATAGGACCTAAGATGAAAACTCTGATTCTTTTCCCGAGAGTCGTCAAAGATACTTTTCTGATATTCTACTATATAAACGTGCTCATCTCCATTTTCTTATAGATTCGCATATTTATATTGTATCACATATAGGATATTCCAGTCCACTATAATTTTGAGACGAAAGGATCTCTTCTCTATTGATAACTGGAATTGTGAAATTTTCAAGGCAAATAGTTAAAATTAACTGAAGATTACTTAACGAAGACTTCATAAATCAGATTATTGGTAGTAGACACAGCACTGAGTAGTCTTATGGCATGATATTTATTTTCTATGTTAAGAGATTCTTGTCTCACGAAAAAAATCTATGTTGATCTTCTAGTTTCACGAGATAAAGGCCGATTAATCCTTACGATCAAAATTCAACATGCTCTATTTATGGTCAAACTATGATACTAAAAGAATAAAGTTTAGGTACTATTTAGGACGACTGTATTCTTTCTCCCGTTGAATTATATACTTTGAGCATGTTATGCTAATCTCTCTAATCGAATGAAAAATTCATATTTGTGTCGTTTAGAAGTAACTACTTTGTTTAATGAAAGGTCTAGTTCTTTTGTTTTCAAATTGTGTGATCAATTTCAGAATACCTATAATAGTTTCCGCGGAATCAGAGATTGCCTATTCACATCTTCAATATTCAGTGGATTCTGGATATGAATATGGACAATTGTGATTTTGTATAACATTTTAGCTACAAAGTTATTAAGCTTTAGAGAAGTTCGGAAGGAACTCTTATTAAATATGTATCGATATGATTTTGCGAAACGATTTCATCATAGAAGCTTGTGCATAATTCAGAAATTAAACGATATATATTTTAATTAGTCTGATATAAATATAAAGTAAGTCTCTTGTTTCTGAAGCATGGATACTACTTGAGATCCTATGATAGATATTGTACCATCTCACATTAATTTTTATTATCGGGTTCGATAAACTTTCAGGGTATTCGCAACGACCATTGTTTACTATTGTAAAATGTTTCATTTTTTCAACCAAGAATTTGCTCATATTTCTCTTAAGTTAATAAAAATTAATATCTTCTCATTCGTGAAGTGCACATAAGCTCATAATCAAAAGAAATATAAAAAAAAAATTATATATGATTGTATACTTAATACCTATTCCACAGTTCTCCGACAGTTATCTGTAGACGGTTGGAATTCCAGCTCGATCTTTAATTAGTTACTACATTCCGTAGTACTAAGTAGTATGTGGGACTAGTTTAAGCCCGAAACGAAAATCTTGTAACCCTTATCTATAAGTGGTATGTATGCATACACATTTTTCAGATCCGAAAGAAATTCAGCACATAAACTAATCTATCGAATTTGTCACATTGTTGGTTGTGTGGTCAGGTCGGACACAGTGGGCTTCTATTCCTTGGGGGATAATCGCTTTCAAAATCCTTAAGCTATGACTCATTTTCAGTAATTAATCTATGATCAGACAATCTTCTTCGGCAAACAACTGTAAAAATCATTATTTTTAATTCATACGAAAAAAACAATGGTGTAAACCATAATATCATTTATATCTTGTTAGATAAGAATTTACATTAACATTCTTAGTAATTACTGGTTTTTATCTCAAATCTCTTTTCGGTAACTTCTCTTAGAACTTTTAAATCATAGAACTTTAACATTAAATATCTCATTTTACACGTTAAATTTAATAAAGAAATCAAGATTTCTTCTTACCAGTGATAGACGACGAATAAGTTTGTCAATCATATGTAAGTCTTGTGTGAAGATATTTAAAATAATAACATTAAATTTGCTTAACAAATAGTTGAACGTTGATGATCGTCTAAAAGAAGAATGGGGTGCGCTTCTCATTGGGAATATATAGCGCAAAATAAAAATTACATGAATAACGCACAAAACAGTAAAGATTTTTTATTCGAAAACAATAGATGTTTACAAAAGAATTTCGTAAGAAAAACATCATACATAACAGAGAAAAAAAATACTTACTTAGTTGGCATTATTTATTAATTAATCAACGACGTGATCTAGAAATATTGATAGTATGAGATCGGAATAGGTGTGGAGTTTTGTAATAATTATCGCAGACAAATAAATGAAGACGAGAAGCTTCCTACGAACGAAGATGGATAAATTTTAGAACGAATTTAATCAATCATTATCATGCTAAATAGAGGTCGCAAGCGTACAAGATAATAAAATCAAAGTAATATCAATAATGACTTGACATTATTGAATGATAGATTGACAAGAAAATACGCATCGAATTAATTATTATGTTAACGAAATTATTCGAGAGATAAAATTTATCTAATTATTTCGTGAACTATAGCATCATAATAGTATCGAATGAAGATCTTGAAAAGCTTAAGCAACGCTTAAAAAGTTCATAATGATAAATATAAGCATCGCAGTGAGCCTGGTTTTTGTAAAACCGTTCTGGTTCGTTCTAGTTTTGGCGAATAATGCTTTTTTTTTTAATATTCTGCATTCTTATGGATGAGCATCCAAAACCCAAAACAAAAAAAAACAATTATTTGCTAAGCCTACCTAAAATGAATTCTAATGATTTTTAAAAGTCAGGATCCGCTGCGATGCATATAATTATTGTATTGATTTCAAATACTCTGCAAGATACATCCTACTGTGAGGCTAATAGACTAATCAATANCAATTGAGAATCAATCTTAATTATGATCTATCTTGTCGAAATCTTGACATCAATCGATCTGTTTTCATAATGGTCGTATATATTGAAATAAAAAAGTATTTAATCTCATTTACTTTATTTTATTCTAATAATAAGCATTCGATTTCTGATTTAATCGATAGTCAAAAATATAGTATATATGAACAAAAAACACAAGAAAAAAAAAGCTGAATTTGAATTAAAGTAGATAACAAAATATAAATTTTAAACACATTTGATGCGAAAAAGTTTTCAATGACCGAAATAAAAACTTGATGAAATACGAAAAACAATTTAATGAGTAACATAATGTAATTTTCATCTTATACATTTATGTTATAAACGTATTCAAATGTCATCTCTATTAAATGTTAAATCATTTTGTTTCAATCGAATCAAAGAACTTTTCAGCTGTTAATTGTTGATCAACCAATTCATGTTAATAAGTTTATTTTAAGGATACTCAATTGATTAAAATAAAATTTTCCTTGACATGTTACGAAGACACTTTCATCCCTTGCAATTATTTCTTTAAGGCAGATTATTTTGACTTTTCATTGTATTATTAACACCGATTTGAATACCATTCATTGATGATGATTGATTTCTAAATGAAAAAAGAAATTATTATCTCGAACTAGAACTTAGCAAAGTGATATACCGTCGTTTAGGTATAGAAATTGGATGAATATTATGTGTCCATAGCATCATCATCTTGTATTTTTGCTTTACGTATATATTTCTTATGCTTTTCTTTCCAACATCAAGAAAATCAATATTTGATTTTAAAAAAAAACAAATAAAAGATAAACAGTAAACCGTTTTTAAATATAATAAATTGAATAAGATCAATAGGAACTTCATTATTTTCTACATCGACTTTGTTTTTGTATATAAGACATCTTGTACGAGTTCTTGTTATAAACGTTTCAGATTTCCTAATGATCGACCAGTTATTCATCACGAATATAAAAGTAATTTTCTTTGTTTTATTAAATCAAAATAGTAAATGCCTTAATCTGACAAAAACTTGATTATTTGTTTGAGATGAATTTTAATGTCTTAAATGTATGTCTTCAAAAATTCAGCTAGATGCTTCTTAAATCTATGAAAGTTTTAATAGTTTAACAAAATGAATATTAGTTTTTTGTTGTTTGTTTTTATATATCATAAATAAATAATTAATCAATATCAATGCATACGAATAATATGATCAAATAAAGTATTTCAATGCTATCCTATAGATGGAATTTATTTTACAATATTTTTTTTTGATCTCATTTAAATATACTTTATAACATTAACCACTTAATGAACCATTTTTTACAAATCATTCATGAATATTTTTAATTCAATTTTTTCAGGATGTGGTGATATTAATATGAATAAATAATTGATTTGGCTTATTTGAACGTAGACAACATTAACACCACCCAATTATATTTTACAGTTTATGATAATTAAACATTAGCTTGACCAACAATAATTCAACTGCGAGAAAAAAAATGAAATAGAATTCAAATTTATAATATTAATTGATTTACTGTGAGTACTGTTTTTTTATAAAATTTTCAGATTTTTTTTGTTTTTTTGCTTTTGAGATATATTTTGAATTCTAGAAAAAAAGGGAAAATTTTCATTTAGAAAATTCAGTTTCGTTGAAAATACTCACAAATTATATACATAAGAAACATTTTACATGACAATTTTTCTACTAAAAACGAAATAAAACCAAAACTGTGTATAGATAAGATAAATGCAAACTTGTTTTTTTAGTCTTCGCTTTCTGACGGAAGACGTAGGACCCGTCGACGTCGAACTGGTGTTCGTGCTGGTTCAGTTATTTGTTGTTGAAGCTGTGTTATTTGTATTTGTTGTTGTTGAATTGTAGTGTTTTGTGTTTGTAGTTGTGCTTGCAGGTTTGCATTTTGTTGTTGTAGCTAAAAGATAAAAATGAAATGGCAATATATTGAACAATTTTGAAGATACTCACTTGTGAATTAGCTTCTTCAGCAGCTTCCAATCGTTTTTCAAGACTTGGTGGCTACAATATAAATAAAACAGAATTCAATCATTTTTATAGAAAAATTTTTGAAAGAGAAAAAAAGAACTAAGAGCATGCATAACTAAAAAGAGTAACACGATTCATATCATGCGACACTAAACCCTACAGAAGTATACAATGCATGCACATTACTATTTTGAATAAAACCTTACTGTTGTTGGTACAACTTGCATGATCTGAAATAAGCAAAAAGATTCAAAGCAAGCGTCTCATGAGAAATACCAATACAAGCTAATAAGTGAAGAAATATATACATCTACTACCAATATCAAACAATAAATACATAGATACACATACATATAGGTATAGAAAAAAAGTAAGGTGCAGAAGAAAGAGTTAAAGGAAGCAAAATCATTATAAATGATTAAATTCACACTCATCCCACTAAAATACAACTTACTACTAAATTCAAGTTTTTAGTTTGACACATTTTTGTTAGTGCTGAAAAGAATCGTCTGTTGTTCAACAATAATCAAAAAGCCCTTCTAGCTGTTTCGCTCTGAAATCACAGATAGAAGAATATTAAAAAAATAATATTCACCAGTTGGTACAATGACTAGTAAAGAATCTAAAAAAGAAAAAGATCAATCTCATACCAAGAAAAATATAGACATAAGTAAAAATTAAAATAATATCATCCTTTTCAATCAATGAGAGCGCTGGGTTCAAATAAAATACCACCTACTCGAACATTATCTATTCAAATGATATACGACATCTTTTTCATAGCTATTTATATCACAAAGTCAGATGATAACAAAGATAAAATGTGCTTTGTTCGCAACTAGGCTAGGTTGATGTGTTCACAGATTCATCGTTCGTTGCCTTGCAGACTCAAAACCATACCATTGATCGAGAAAAAACAACCATACATGAAAAAGCATTAAGAGATGGGGCTATTGATCAATAAAACAAATTCTAACATTGGTTATGTATTTCTAATATTTGAGGAGATTTTCATTATATGTGTAACATTTAAGTTTTTTTCTTATAGCAATACGCTTCTCTGCATCTCCCATGAATAGTAGTATCATAACGCTGAGGAATCTTTTTAACGATTTGATATGATTTAAAATCGACTGGAACACGATTGTCAGAAGTTTCTTTCTAATTGTCCAAGAACAAAATGTTTAACTGTTGTCATACTATAATTTCTTTTCATCAATTTACCATGGATATTTTTCTCAGGCATTGCTAAGGAAGTATTATGAGAAAGGATTACTGAGTATGTAACTTCTTCATTCGTCATTGAAAGAGAATTATTTTACGTTGAATAAATGTCGTTGTAAACTGATATCAAATATTTATTTGTATAGAAATCTGATTGATAACAATCAAATAAAACTTACATGAATAGAGCTCTTCGTTTTTTTTTATTTTAAATCAAAATCAACTAAAGAATAACAGTTATGAGTGTTAAAAAGACTTTTTACAGAAGACTTGAAAAAAAAGATGTCTATGTTGAATGACTTTTCTTATCGATTCGGGAAAGAAAATCAAATTCATTTTCGCTTGTGTTTGTGAAACTATTTTTTCATTTTACTACAATGATATTTATGCTATTAGTTATTGTTGTTGTTGTTTTTTTTTGTTATCTGTTTGGCCTGATTAATTCTAAATCAATCGTTCAAATCAAAGATTATTTTGTCGAAAAAAAAGGTAATAAATATTCTGAAAAATGAATTTATGCAGAGACTATTTCTGTCTCAACCAATTTTTTTGTACAAAATGGTTCTGCATCTGTAGAATCATTTAATAAATTTACTCAAAATAAAGTATATGCTATATGCTACTGGAGAAATTAGGATTAAAGTTTAAGATATTAATAAATAGTATTAAATGCTACTGAATCATTAATTGATCAAATAATTCATTGTCTTATAATGTTAATCAATATTGAAGAAGATTATGACATGGTCAATCAAATTTATTTACAATGGTCGAAATTATCTGAATTTTATCTTGGATGATTTTCAATAAATGTTGTCAAATTAGCATACAATACTAAAACAATTAAAAAAAATAAAATTAATAAATAAGTTTTAAAATAAAAATAAAATATTCTGTCATATAGATTCTTTTTGATAATTAATAAATTGCTTAAATAAGATTATATACGTATAAGTGTCTATCTATTATTACAATTATATATAAATGCGTGAACAAACAAAATCTTTATAGACAAAGACAACACAAAAAAAATAAATGCGGAAACCTCGGATTTAAATCCGAGAGTTATGTGTACTTCAAAAAGTGAATGAGACAGATGAATCATCCTAGAATGTGTGGACATCAAAATTATCCTGGCAAACCTTTTCTATAAAATACTTGATTTCTATTGGCTACTCCCAACCAATAGGATTTGGGGATGAATACAGCTCAGATTTGAACTCTTCGCCTCGATTTACCCTAAGAAAGTCGTTTTTGGTTGAGATAAGTTACACACACTTCTATCTACACACACAAATCGCCATTGCACTAAAATTACACATCGCCTCTATAATTTTAAAGAGGGCGTTCGTGTGTAGCTTTTCTTAAAACATACGCGTTCATATATTTTATGATTCGATAAAAAACACTGAATGTAAAACTGTAATAATAGTTATTCTGATTTTAGTGTGAAATGATTTGAGGCGTATCATGAAGAAGATATTAAAATGAAATAAATAAATATCCAGTTGCTTAAAATTATTTTTCAAAATATACCAGAAATTTAATCGAACACTATTCAAAATAAATAAATGTAGAAAAATCTAACCAAAGCTGTCCTTTTTGTATCGTCTAAATTACAAGTTGAAAAAATCTCGTTACGTGATTTAAAAGAATTTTTCTAACAAATTTCTATTAAAAGAATCAACTGATTATCAAGAATAAAAAGTCTTTGCGCAGCATTTTTATTTTTGACAACTTATTATTTGCTCGCTTAAATATTGTTAACTGTGAAGTACCGTTGCCTTTTTTCTAGTATATTTTCTTCCCTCTCATTAACATCTGAATTGTATCAAGTGAATATTCAAATGCAATATCATCAATTATCGTCAGAATTGGTTTTAAATTGATTCATATGTATTGATCTTTATCCGAAATCTTTTGTTTTTGAGAATATTTGTCTCTGTATGTGACAAAAAACAGGAAAATCATCAATACAATATGACAATCAAATGAAGAAATATTTTTGTTAAAGTTGTTTTTTCGTATTCTAGTGTTGTGTGAGAGCTACAGAAGATTATAAAAAGACGTCATCTTTGAAGGATTTAGGCGGCTTGCACGTTAAACGAGAATTTTTTTGTCGAAAATAAGTATGCGAACCGCTGGAAAAATTTGGATCATATTGCACATGAATAAAATAAATGACGCAAATATATAATTACGTCAAGTTCTTCCAGAACATAGCTTCTATTTAGTGACAAGCAAATTTTTTAATTCAATAAGTTTAGTGTTGCAAAACAATATAACTTCTATATTCCTTCAATGAAATATAATTTGTTCTTTTCTTTTGTCTGGTCTGTTCATCTTTTTTCTGTTCATGCGATTGCTCAAATGTATCATGGGCATGTGTAGAGAAAAAGATGAAGAGGTAAAAGAGAGAGAACAAAATCAAACAACTCTTGTTGAATGATCGAGAAGTTTTCCTTGTTTTTTTTTCTAAAGAAATAAGGTTATTTATGAAGTTTTGAGGTTTCAATTTACTATATCTTCATTTTCGTTGACACCTGCCATGGCATGGTGCCTATTCGTACACATTTATCATCTTGTTGTGTTTTATTGATTGATTATAAAACTAACGAATATTAAAATAAACCAAACATTTCTTTTCGAAAATAATATTCTCATACATCAAAAAAGGTATTTAAAAATTTTACCCTATATGAAACATATCAATTTCTTAAAATTTATTTATATGGGATGAATATTCTAAAAATACATCATTAGTAACTGCTAGTGAAATGAATGTTTGATTAAATTTTCACAGACATATTTTCTATTCTCAATAGCAGATTTTGAAAAGGATTTTTTCAACGAGAATGATATAAGCTCCTTATTCTCTTTTTCCTTCTCTTCAATCACTAAGGGTTGTTTTCTTCATTCAGAAACAACGTTTTTTGTTTATTTTTTCTATCTTAACGATGCTATGTCACATGTACATAAAAATGTGAAATTGTTCAAATCTAATGATGTTGTGACTCGAACATTTGCACACACAAAAAACTTTTAGAAGTACTTGTAAAAATTCCTTTGAAAACAAAAAGCTTCAAAAATTCGAAATGAATAATCGTAAATAGAAAGTGAAACAAAATTCAAAGATCAAGTGCTTCAAGCAACATCTACGGCATCTTGAAATATGTCAAGACTATAATAAGTCGAGAGTTATTCTTTCCCGTAAAAATAATTTGTATTTTTATCGACTGGTCGCTAAAG